GGAACCTTTAATGTGGTGAATTGAAACAATAGTCACAACAATTAAATCAAACATACCAAAGATCTTGAAAATGGCACAGAATGGGGTAATCTTTTTGTTTTGTTGTATGTAATGTCTCCATAACTTAAAGCTGCCTTGATAGCAATAATAATCTGATTAAAGTTATAAGATGACAAGTAATTTTGTCATATTGGGGTTGACAACAACTTATAACCAACCTGTGAATTATGTATTTGAACCCTGCCAAGTCCTGTGTCATTCTCATCATCTATGCCACACACTTGAGCTAGTGTTATAATCACTTTGTCATTCAATATTGTTGAAGGTTTTCTTCTCCTTTGCTGACCCTCCTTTTTCCCCCCCAAGCATGATGTCCTTTTTCAAGGACTGGCCTTTCCCCAAAAATGTTCACATTAATGGCATGAAGTCTCATTATTCTTCCCTCTAAGGAACACCCTGACTGTACTTTTACATGACATGTGTTTGTTCTCTTGGGGAACTATGGAATACTTAATACTCTTCTCCAGTATCACAACTATGCTTAGTTAGTTTTATTCACTGCCTAACTCTCAGATAAATATCATATCATTTAAAAAGATCCTGGTTTAATCTTTAAACCGACATCCTTATTTGGAGATTTTCCTGATTATAAACTTCCCCAATGCAATATGTCTTCTAACTTCTTGACTGCTGATAACAAAGGTGCTGATTATGAACCCAAATGAGATTAAATCAATGACAACTTTAATCTTTTCTCCATTTAGCATAATGTTGCCTATTAACTCAGCAGCCAAGGTTTTTTTCTTCTTGATGTTGCAATGTGATTCATATTTAAGATGTGATACATATAGTAATCTGTGATCTTCTGTAGCAAACATTTCCAATCCTCCTCACTTTCAGCAAGCAAGATTGCATCATCTGCATAATGTAAGTTATTGATAAATCTTCCTCCACTATTGCTGTCACAATCTTCCTCATGCAATTCAGGTTCTCAAATGAATTGCTCAGTGTAAATGTTGAACAGATGTGGAAAAAGGATACAGCCCTAATATACACATTTCTTGATTTTAAAATATATAGTGTTCCTTATTCTATTCTGATAATAGCTTCTTGGTCTAATTTTCAGATGTGCATCATTAAGTGTTTTGGAATTCCCATTCTTCTAAATATTGATCATAATTTGTTATGATTTACACAACTGAAAATGCTTGTATAAAACCTAAAACATAAATAGACTTCCTTCTAGTACTCTCTGCTCCCAGCCAAGATAAAACTGATGCCAGCAGCATCTATATTTAATGGAATAATCTACTTATGTTGTTGTCACCATGTGATGTTTGAGTTGATTACAAATCATAGAGACCCTATACAACAGCTCTGAAACCTGCCTTAATCTCAGCCAACTCTATTGTCTCTTCACACATTTAACTCCAATGCCACAGTCTCTGCAACAATTTCATCTCATCCAGGATCTTTCTCTCCTGAGCTGTTCCTCTATCCTTGTAAGCATGATACCCTTCTCCAAGGATTTGTCCCACTTGGCAAGATGTTCAAAGTATAGACAAAGCTTCACCACCCTGACCTTTAACATCACTCTGGCAATACTTTTCCCACAACATATTTGTTCTTTTCAC